TCCTATTTTGGGTCCAGATCAATTGTGTCTTGTGTTGCCTGACCTTCTCCTAAATTTTTGCATGCTTGTTTAGGTCATCCACACTTCTCAAAATTAAAACGAAATGGCTTCTAAACATAGTAAACTTAAAGTCTTAAATCAACACAGAAAACATGTCAGATCTTTTTTCCCAAGCAATAAATCAATATGTAAATATGTTTTTCTCTAGTCCTTCACTCTGACATTAGTGACCAATATTGTGTTATCTTATACCATTGAAAACAACTTGGTTTGAAATTTCATCATTTATATTCNCACTCAAAAGGCTCAGACTGTTCAAGTTTTAAATTACAATCTATTGTACTTCCGTCATGTAAAGTAAAGGCATCAGAATTTACAGTAATAATTTCAGAACCATTATCCTCCATGCTAAGATTTGAGGCAAATGCAAGTGAATCAGTATCATCGCAACCTAAGATATTAGGAGATTTCCTGGTATGTTTACACCTTCGTATACCCATACTCTGAATTGCATCAGCTAATACATAGTCATCACTATTACAATCACCGATATTTTCACCATCACTACAAGGTACAACAAAGGCTTGGACCTGTAATGTGCTTCTAATCCTTCGAGCTGGTTCATTTCTCAGGGTAACTGGAAAAGGTGATTTTACAGTTGCAGTCACAGTAGCATTATCAATAGGTTCATCCAATGATGCCTCTACATTATACGACTCATTCCTCAATGCAACAGCATCCTCAGCTGCACAAACTACCTCAGGTCTGCCAATCACACAATTGGTTTTGCAGCTTGGGAAAACCAATTGGTTTTGCAGCAACAGTTTCCAACATTCATTTATGCTCGGGCTCTCTAGAAAAATTAATGGATCGTGCATTGCTGTTGAAAAATTGCGGAGGTTGGCCCTACCGAGAAGCAGCGTCGGCGTGGCACAGAGACACGAGAGCGAAGGGGAGAAGCCAGGGCTCGATTCCGACGGTGGAGGCAACTCGCGGCGGACTGCGCGGAGGAGGTGGCGACGCGAGTGCAGGGCCAACCCCTCCCTGGGTTACCATTTTCGAAGAAGAACGAGCGCGAGAAAAAAGGAGACTCTACGGTGTCCGGCGGTGCTTCCACCATAAGTGACGTCGCCGGCGAATTGACACCTCACCAAAGACACCTCACCAAAGACAACTGCCACATCATCAGTCCACTAACTCCGTTTCCTTCTATTTAACGGAAGGGACTCATTAGAATCAATTAATTACAAGTAAGGATCCATTCAACTCACTTTTTTATAAAGGGACTAACTTGAGATTTCCGAACCAAAGTGGGGACAAAATTGGGTATTATGCCTAGATTCAACATCTATTTGATTCCAGAGTAATACTACGAAGGAGAAATTTTATGCTTTATTCACTTCAATAGATTTTTAGGGGAGTGATAGAATAAATTTAAGAGGATTTAAAGATAAATTTTTTGTTATTTATTTGAGTGGATTTGGAGATAAGTGAGAGTGAATTTGAAAGTAACTTTTTTTTAATCTGTCATATCAATCAAATCCTACACTATTTCTCATAAACTTTACTTTCAAATTCACTCTCAGTTACCTTCAAATCTACTCAAATAAATAATAAAAGAATTTACCTTTAAATTCTCTCAACCACAGAGAAATATAACTCATAATTTGAATTCTTTAACATACTTTGGACTAGAAAAACTTGAACCAAAAAAACCTTCAATAATAAAAGTTCAATGGCCAAAATATTCATAAAACTTTAGTAGACTAATATCAATTTATTAGTTTTCCTTTTCAAAAAATATTTATTTTAAATATAAAAAATATAATTAATTCTTAATTTATCTTAAATTTAAGTATTTTAAACTTGTAAAAAAATTATGTATACAAATTTTAATTAGACTAAAATAAAACAAAAAAAAACTTTTGTCAGAACCATAAAATCCATGCTGAGTGGAATCCAGGTGTTAGTGTGAGGGTTTAGAAAATTCAAAAAGTGGAAGACGGGTGTGTCTAGCTGGTTGGCCGATCGGTTTTTGACGGTGGTATATAAGGAAAATTTTCTAACGTTGAGTCATTTTTGCATGCACCTCTATTTCCAAAATTATGAGTTTCTCCTCCTTCTCTCTACAATTCTCCTTCTTCTCTCTAAAAATCCTCACTTTCTTCTTCTGCTAATCACCTTCTAGGCCATGTTTGAGTTCTTCCTTGGTGGCAATAAGTTATTTTTCATCAATCTAGTTGCTGTGTGAAGTTGGTAAGTAAAATCATTCTTCCTTTTTAAGTTTCCATATTTTCTGGAACATGCAAGCATTGTTTCGCTGGCATATGTTCTTCATTTATCTCTCTCTGAACATGTTTCTGTTTTTTATCCTCTGGTTGGTCCCTTTTTACCGATCGGAATTGTAGTAAGTTGCTTTAGAAGTGGTTGCTGATTAGTTAAAGTAGTGGAAGCTTAGGAAGTGCCTAGTTTATTCAAGGGAAGGGAAGCTAGTGATTTAATTATATTTTTTTGTGTTTGGAATTTATGTTTGAATGATTGCACGTATGAATAATGGTATGTTTGATTGAATTGTATTCAATTTTTGTGTTTGGCCGATACATGTGAACTGGGTTGGAGTTTCCTGTTGTAGAACGTTCGGTCATTTCTAGTTTGGGATTGAGAGTATGTGAAAATGTGAGTGGTGAGCAGTGAGTAATAGGTTCAGTGGAATAGGTTTAAAATAACTTAGAAATCAAGTTTGGAAGTTTAGAAATTAAGAAAAATATCTTGTTTTGGTTTAAGAAGTGTTATTCAGGGTTTTGCTTTGTTGACCGTTCGACCGTGTCACATACTCAGTCATTTACTGAGTTCGATCTATTAAGGTATTATCTATGTATGACCGTTCGGTCTAATCATATTGTTATAATATTAAACTAGTGTTTAGTCTGGATAGAGGATACAATAATATCTAAGTGCTCGGTCTAGTATAGTGTTCAGTATAAGTTTTTAAGAGTTTTGGTTTGAGTTATGAGGGTACGGTTTAAGCTCTTCGGTTTGGGATAAGTTTCTAATAGTTTGTTTGGTCGGTCTATAATAGCGTTCGGTCAATTGTTTCGGTTTTGTTTCTTATGAACCGTTCGTTACTCTCGATTGGGTAGTGTGAAGGTATTCGGTCTCCAACGTTCACATGTTCTCTTTATTCTGTGAATGAAAATATAATTGATGAATGACAAATTATGTTTAATATGAGAATTTTGGACTTATGTATACTGTGGGAGAGAATTCCAAGGCGGAATGTCTCGTGTATGGTTATGGAATTGTAAAGTATGAATATGGATATGCTAAGTTGGCGTTCATGCTGAAATTCTGAGTATCATTCTCACATAGAGAGAGGTATTTCATTTGTGAGAATAGTAGGAGGTCTTACCACCTCAGGGTGCCGAGGTAGGTATTATGGGATTAACCTTGGGTAGTAGCTTTATTGGTGTCAGCTATTACACTACCACAAGTGCAAGGACGACTGTAGCTACATATTCATACAATCCGGATGGTCAAGCATAGTGTTCGATTTATATATACTTATATGAATTATGATGTTTTGTTTGTATGTGATGAATTGTATTCATTGTTGTATGATGTACCGTTCGGTTTCGTATGAATTAAACTTTCATGAAATGCATATATGTGGTTATAATTAAATTGCAATAGCTTACCCTACTTTCTTGTTCTGTCTTGTCTTGTCCGTTCGGTTTTCTTTTCCATTGCGATGATCATCCTGTGGATGTGAGCAGAAGGTGATGAGTGTTCGGTGGAGCAAGTATTGGAAGGCGAGGATCTTGTCGCTTAAGTTATGACCGCCCGGTCATCGGTTGTGTGTAGTTTTGAATTGGACCGTTCGGTCAATAGGGTTAGTTTACTTTTTGCAAACCGATCGATTTTTACAGTGTGTTGTATCACCGTTCGGTTTATTCCTATATTTTGTATCAAACTTATGATATTCTATAAAGATTGTAGTTTTATGGTTATTTTGGATAACTATAATTGTTAAATACTTTACTAACTATTGGTGAAATGATCTATCATATTATTATATGTGATTAATCTATGATATAATATTATGCTATATTTTGGGATGTTACACCTTCAATAATAAAAGTTCAATGGCCAAAATATTCATAAAACTATAGTCAACTAATATCAATATATTAGTTTTCCTTTTCAAAATTTTTTTATTTTAAATATAAAAAATATAATTAATTCTTAATTTATCTTAAATTTAAGTATTTTAAATTTGTAAAACAATTATGTATAAAACTTTTAATTAGACTAAAATAAATTTTGTTATTGACTAAACATATTTTTAAAATATATAATATAACTATTTAATTTTATTATGTAAAAAACTCATATAGATCTTATCAAAATTAGATAAAACATATGAATGAAACAATTTAACATAATGAATTTAAAAGTAATAAGTATATGAATTTTTTATTTAAAAGTAATAAGTATATGAATTTTTTTTATTATATGTTGTTTATTTATTTTTTTAATATATAACTTATAGTTAAATTCAATCAATTATTTATTTCTATTTAATAATATATATATATATATATATATATATATATATGTATATATATATATATATATGTATATATATATATATATATATATATGTATGGAGTTTGCTAACACTTGTACGCCTGTTTTTCAGTTGATACATTTTAGCCATGTGTACCGGATTTTAGTAAACAAAAATACCCTTTATATTATGAATTCTAAGTTTTAAGGTTAAGGGTATTTTAATAATTTCATTCTAAAAATTAAAAAAAAAAACAAGAAACTCCTAGACCCTTACTCATCTCCCTCATTTCTTTCAATCTTTTCTCTTTCATCTTTGATGAATCGATATTTTATTCCTACACTTAGCTTATTGTGCTAAAATTAGTTGGGGAATTGTGCTTAATTGTCCAGTATTTTCCCGTTTTTCATAATTATGCTTAATTTGACCGATAATTTTTATTTTGATTAATTTGAATTATTTGTGATTAATTATTTACATGGTTAATTCTAGGAAATTATTGGATAATAATTTAGGACATTTTGGAGAGTTGTCACGGGTTCGGATGGAATTCACGTCCAGCATCTTTCTTTTTGCAAAGCACACGGCTGATTAATTTTGCTGAAACAGAGAGCACACATCCACGTTCCAGCAACACCATCATCACCGTCCACCGCAGCAACACGCCAAGCCTCAAGGCAGGGGCAGCAGCACGTTTTGAAAGCAAATCAATAGGAGGTGCTGCCACGTCTTTGTGTCAAAGTATCACGGCTGGAAGCAAGCGGATGCACACGTTGATGGAGAGCTCCAAAGCCAGCACGTTGAGAGTGTAGTGTGCGGAAACGTGGAGATGGGAAGGACCAGCAGCAACACTTCACGGCTAAAACAGAAAGCACATCACCGTCCAGTAGCTTGGAGCGGAAATGGAGTGACCAGCTTTGAAGAGCAGCAGCTCACGGTCCAGCTGGGGAAGCAAGAAGACCTTCTACGTCCAGCAGGAGTTCGTCTCCAAGCAGCAACGGTGATGGACGTTGAAGAGAAGAAGGAATTGTGATCAAGCACTCCCTCGGTCCAGCAGCTTCACATGAAGAACACCACATGGACAGCAGTTTGGAGTGGAAGAACACACATTCACGGTCTGGGAGAAAACACAACAGCAGCGGTTTTTCATCCATCACGGACGGGCAAGGAGAAGAGCTTGGTTGCAGGTCCGGAAACTTCCATCCAGCAGCTATGGATTCTAACTTGAGGCAACAGCTTGGAGAGAAAAATAAAACACAGTCCAGCCGCCGCCTAAGTGATGGAGATCCGGAATAGCAGCAGCGTGGTGTGTGCTTGGAAAAGAAGGAGGAGCTCTCGGTCATTGCAGCTACTACTTTGGAAGATGCACAATGCTGGCTGGAAGAAAAATGTGAAGTGCTGCATGGTGATTCACTGGATTCATGCGTCCAGCAAGCATCAACGCAAACAACAGCAAGCAAGAAGTGGAAGCAAGTCCAGCAAGCTTGAAGAAAGAAACACACGGCCTTGGTGCAGCAAGGAAGGTTGGCAGCAGCTCCAGCACTTCACGCTCCAGCTCTAACACGTTCCAGCCATTAGCCAACACGTTTCCAGCAGCTTGAGACGCACATGGCAGCAAAGCAATGGACATGGTAGCACGTGGTGATGAAGGAAGAAGAGTGAGCAGCCACCGGTGGAAGAGAGAGCTGCACGGTGTCTCGGCTTGGAGCAGGTGCAGCCGCCACCATGGAGGAAGTCCTCGGTCCAGTTCCGGCCAGCAGGAAAGGATGGTGCCCATGAGTGAATGTCCAGATGTGCACGTGATGGATGGAAGTGAGAAAGGGTCCCACCCACGAAGAAGCTAGCAGCACATGGAGAGTGGAGGTGACAATTGTTTTTTTTTAAAAAAATATGCATTTGCAGAACCACCAAACGGACACAATGGTATGGAATGAAGAAAGTGGTCAGCACATACTTTCCACTTAAGTTGCTGCCACACACATAAAAGAAAGTGGTCAGCACATACTTTCTCCTCTGCTGTTCCAGCCCTCTATCCAGCCCCTACTGTATATCTCTGCTGGACCGTGTATATTCCAACTCCCTTGCAGCTTTCTGCTCTCTGCTTGGACCGTGTTCAGCTTATTCTTTCCCTCTCTTCTTCTTTCCTCCCTCAAGAGTCCTTAAAATGAAGAAGTAAATTTCCTATTTGTGTGCTGCTGGACGAACCTCAGCCGTCTCCTTCCATCCTCAGTGCCATGCCCACTATGAAGATGATGATGATAATTTCTTGGTGGTTGGAGCACTTCAAAGTGGAGTGATAATTCCTCTTCTGGTGGCTGGAGCACTCAAGGTGGAAATGATGATTTCTCTTCTGGTGACTGAAGCACTCACCGTGGCTTTTGCTGGCATGTAGAGCCCTCCCCTCACCCACCATCTTCTTTTATAATAAAAAAAAAATTATTTGGGCTCTTACAGCTAAAGCTTTCTTTTACTCCACTTGAAGAAACCATGGGGCTTTTTCATGGATGAACTAGGACTAACATGTGGACCATGAATCAAGTTGTAAACTCTACATAGAAGTGTGCTATAAATTTTCATATCATCAAGTATTCACCAGAAATCTCCACATGAACAAATTCCTCTTTCAAAATGATGGAACCTATTGGCATCCCTTACAACAAGGGTCCGTTGGGAGACTTTTGATGCTATCTTAAAGAATGTATGACAATCATCACAAATTCGAAGGTTTTTTGTGATCCGAATAGTAGAACCGTTTGGCGTAACAAGCAGACCAAAACCAAGTGCCAACCTTTCACTATGTCTATATAATATCTGCATTTTTTCTTCTCCACTGACATTATGGAACACAAACTTCGTTTGAGCCCTATAGCCTTCTGTTTCCAGNAGCTAAAGCTTTCTTTTACTCCACTTGAAGAAACCATGGGGCTTTTTCATGGATGAACTAGGACTAACATGTGGACCATGAATCAAGTTGTAAACTCTACATAGAAGTGTGCTATAAATTTTCATATAATCAAGTATTCACCAGAAATCTCCACATGAACAAATTCCTCTTTCAAAATGATGGAACCTATTGGCATCCCTTACAACAAGGGTCCGTTGGGAGACTTTTGATGCTATCTTAAAGAATGTATGACAATCATCACAAATTCGAAGGTTTTTTGTGATCCGAATAGTAGAACCGTTTGGCGTAACAAGCAGACCAAAACCAAGTGCCAACCTTTCACTATGTCTATATAATATCTGCATTTTTTCTTCTCCACTGACATTATGGAACACAAACTTCGTTTGAGCCCTATAGCCTTCTGTTTCCAGAAGTTCTGTAAACTGAGCTAGTTTTAGACAAATATCATCAGATTTTGGATGAGACTTGTCCCTTGCCATGAAGGTGTGAATCTTATTCTCAACCTCAATCCAACTGCATCCTGGTGTCTTCTTCGTGCCATTTCCTTTCATTCTCAACCTAACCTCTTCAACATCGTTCCATCTACCATATGCTGCAAAGATGTTTGATATCAATACATATTTTCCTGAATTCTCTGTATCCGATTGTAAGAGCTTCTTTGCTGCAAGCTCTCACAGTTCTTTATTAGAATGAATGAGGGAAGCGCTGAGAAGAGCACACCAGACTTCAGAAGTAGGTTTGATAGGCATGTTTCTCACAAAACTATGAGCCTCCTCAAGGGAATTGGAACGGCTGAGGAGATCAACCATACAGGCATAATGCTCTGGCCAGGGTTCAAGTTTATATTCATATTTCATAAAATCGAAAACCCTCTTACCTTCATCCATCAACCCTGAATGGCTGCATGCATATAATAAAGCCAAAAATGTTATATGATCAGGAATAACATTTTCATCAGTCATTTCCTCGAATAAAGAAATGGCCCTACGTCCACATCCATGCATTCCATTTGCATTAATCATGGAAGTCCATAAAATTAAATCTATTTTTTTTACAGAATTAAATATCTTTCTTGAGTTCTCCACATTCCCACAGTGAGCATACGTATCCACCAGGGAGCTAGCAATTGGTCCCTCCAAGAAAAAACCTTTCCTAATCAGAAACCCGTGAATCTCCTTCACTTTCTTCAATGAAGATAAACTAGCAGTGGCAGATAGTACACTAATGAGAGCTATATAGTCAGGATGAATTTTAAATTGGTTTAGAGTGTAGAAAAGTTCAAGAGCCTCAACTGGAAGTCCATTATGAACACAGCAGGTAATCATACTTGTCCAAGACACAATATCTTTGAATTTAATTGATTCAAATACACGTCTTGCATAATCTATATGCCCAACTTCTCCGTATACATTGACAATGGCATTTTGTAGCACTGTATCAGCTAAATCTCTTTTCAAAACATAACCATGAATCTCTCTGACAAAGTTTTTAGATTTCAACTCGCCACAAGCCTGCAAAACACTTCCAACCATCATGGGATCAACAGGCATCCCCTCCACCTGAACCATCCGGAACAAGTTCATTGCTTCCAGATGGCATTCATTCTGTGCATAACCGGCAATAACAGTTGTCCAAGAAATCAAATCCTTTTTAGGCATACATTCAAAAGCATGACCCATATATTTCAAACAGCAACACTTGGCATACATATCTATCATGGTGTTCCCAATCTGCATATTACAATCCATTCCATTTCTTATTACATAGGCATGAACTTCCTTCCCTTTCAATAAATTTCCCAATCGGCCAGACGCAGCAATCAAGTTTAACACTGACACCTGATCAAACTTCAGGCCAGAACCCTGCATATCTCGAAAGTAATTTACAGCATCTCTATAGAGCTCATTTTGAACCAAACCAGAGAGCAATGTATTCCAAGATACACAATCCCTGCAAAGCATACTTCAAAAACTCTTACAGCATCCTCCATACGACCACACTTGGCATACATGGCAATCAAAGCATTGGCAACATAGACATCAACAAAATGGTTAGATTTCAAACACGGCACCATGAATCTCCATACCCAGTTTAACAAACGAGGGATCCTCACAACCTTGAAGAGCTGCAACAAAAGTATATGTATTACTCTCGACACCACCTCCTGCATTCTTCTAAAAGCAACAATGCCTCCAAGCATTTCCCTTCTGCTACATGTGCCGAAATAATAGAATTCCAAGAAACAGCGTCCTCTTTCTCCATCATAATCCCATCAAACAGCATCCTGGCCCACAAGATTACCGCAACTTGGCATACATACTTATAAGCGCATTGCACACAAACACAAATTCACCATATCCACATTAACAGCCACACCATGGATTTCAGCCCCAGAGCGAGTTGCTCCAAGAGCACCACACGCTTTAAGCACGGAGGGAAAAGTACAAGCGTCAAGCGCCACTCCATCGACTCTCATCTCTCTGTACAACTCGATTGCTTCGAGGTATTTACCGCTTGACACAAACGCACCCATCATGGCATTCCAGGTAAAATTAGTTCTTTCAGTTATTTCGCCGAACACTTTGAGTGCATCGCTCAAAGAGCCACATTTTCCGTACAGTGGACAAGCTTGGTGGGCTAGAAAGAGAGAACGCCGAAACGTGAGATTTTTTAAAACCGGGGCATGGCAACTGTTGGGCCTGTGTGGGAGGGCTTTCTCAGTGGTTGCAGAAGTCAAGGAGGGAGAAGGAATGCGCGTGTTCGAGAACGCGAGGGGGGCGTTGAAGTGGTGAGAGGGGAAAGGGAGGGTTAAAGGATTTCAAAAGCGGGTTTGAGGGCTCTTCGGTGAGGAGGGTTCGGTTAACGGAAATGGTTTGAGACCAGAGAGGATTGAAGTGGACATGGTGACTGTGCATGCGTGAAGCTGCGCTGCGCCGCACCAGAACAAAGATCTCATGCGTAAGCCGCCAAACAAAAACACTAAATTAAAGTGACAAATAAATAAATTTGTTTTTCAATTTTTTTTATTTTTTATAATTAACTTTAATTTAATCCTTAAAATAATTGTTAGGAACAACAAACTTCGGTTTTCAGACCGGGTCAATAGAAGAGACAAACAAGGAAACACCTATAAAACTCGTTCATTCTTCCTCATTCTTCTTCGTCGCAAATCTCACAATCTTTAGAGAAACCTATCGCCTCTATTCCAAGTAAGCTCCTAAAGCCCCACGCTATTCCTCACTCACTTCACGATTTAGCCTCGCTCTTCTCCCAATCTCGTCTTCCATTTGTTTTTTTTATTTTATTCTAGTTAAATCAATTTTGCCAAATTCTTTCGTGTTTTGATCATTTCAAAAACCAGTGTGCCTTATCCACGAATCTGGTTTTTATCATTGTTCAATCTGTTGCTGTATTCGATTTTGTCTTCTTCAATATAATTTAATTCCGGATATTTTTGTTGTTTTCCCTGTTTTCTGGTTGTTAGTCGAATTGATGCTTCAATTTTTGTTTTTCATCTGTTACGTCGTGTGGGGGGATTATTTATTTAGTGTTCTGTGAATTATGATGAACTGTGAAGAAGTTCAAGTTGGCAAAATAACATTAGGGTTAGACAGTACCTTTGTTCCAAGCAGTAGTGGCAAAGCTTTGGTGATTGGTTCAATTCTGTAATGTTCTTTTGGCACGTATATAATGATATTTGCTCGAATAATTGACGAATAGTTTATAATTAAACCACCTTTACCCCAGTCACTTCTCCTGCACATCTGTAACCTCATATTTGCATTTTTTGAATGATCAATTCATTCAATTTACGAAGATACGAGGCAGTGTGCTTGGTCTACAAGCATGACAGTTGCACCTGCTACAATTTACAGTAAATCCAATGGTACTTGGTCAAGAGACTTTGGAGTGGTGAGGAGAATGTAGCAAGATATAGTTTGTTACTCACTGGAGTTTGGAAAGCTGTTTCACTGTATATGTAGAGCTGTTTCTAATGTAACATCTTAGATATATCTGATGAAACTGAAAATTGTCTGCACTGGAGTTTTGCTATAAGCTTTTGTATCTTCTTGTTCACCTGAAAATCCCCACTTTATTTGATATTCTAGTTTTTGGTAGTATGGTGCTTCAGTTATATATTTATCGCGTTGTTCCTATTTTATCTTTTGTTTCTCTCCTGCTTCGTTCGATGCCTAAGTTGGAACTAGGTAAAGCTTCAAGTACTTCTCTCTATCTGGTATGTTTGTTGAGGTGACAAAGCGGGGGGAGAGCACCTTCAAGTCCCTGTTTTTGGTTTCAATTCATTTCATGCTATGTTTTCTTCCTATTTTAGATAGTTGGGAAAAAATGAGATAATCCTTGGCTTTGGTATGCAGGATGTCGGAAGCACCATTTAGACCACGTGAAAAGCTTTTTGAGAAGCAAAAATATTTCCAGAATATTCCCAAGCATACCTACTTGAAGGGACCCATGGATAAGGTTACATCTGTGGCCATACCTCTGGCTTTGGCTGCATCATCACTTTATCTGATTGTAAGTTTAATTGTAATATGGTCTTTTACTTGTGCTCTGTTGACTTTCGTTATCAGTAATATCTCCAATTCTCCATTTTTTTGGAATCAATGTTATATCGACACTGTGTTACGCATTTGTCCCAGGGACGAGGGATCTATAATAGTCGCATGGAATTGGAAAGAAAGAATGACCTGGGAATTTCGAATTGAGGAGGTTGGCTATTTGTCGAACAAAACAACCATACCTCCTTAATATGGACCACTGGTTCCCTTGCATTTATGTTTGTTCTCTTAAAAAATTTCTTAGTTGCAGATTTTGACTGCCATGGGGGTTTATAACTTATAACGGAAGTTGTTCATTGTATGTTTTTATAAAATCAAATTGGGTGAATTGGCTCAGACTGCTGGCATAGATTCTGGTTTATGCTTTGCCCCTTCTTTTGCTGCGTTAGAACCTGCTCAAACGGCTTTCCTCATCGGTCGTTATGCATTTCAGTTTTTTTTATGTATGTGTCGTCCAGTGGAATTACTTGGTGAGTAGTTGCCCTTAAGCTATAGGTGGTGGCAGGAACCTGTGAAATGGTCTTAAGTGGGAAACCAGTGCGGATTGGAACTCCATAGAATTTGTATTTATAATGCATATTTGGTTTTATATTAGAGAGGTCTCTAACCCCAACCATGGTTTGGGTAAAAGAACATGTCGTAGTTTTTTCCCGTACCAGTTAGAAAAGTCTAACTGAAAATAAACACGTTATCATTAGAATCTTGATTCAATACTTTCAAGATTCTGAGTTTGTATGATGTGGTTGGGTGCGAGTGTTCTCTGCCTAAATCGGAAGCACAAAACACTAAAGGCAATTTTTCTCGGTCCAAACACGCTGTTAAGCGGCAACTTTGTCATTGAAGAAGGAAGCAATCTGCTTAACAGTGATCAGAGCATATTTTGTCAAGTGCGTGAATGTAAGCACAGATTTGCCCCTTAGTTGAAAATATGTGGCTGCAAGTCCTGCGCGTACTTTGTCTTCCTCTAGGTTTTGTTTGATCACGTACCAAAAGAGTATTACACAAGCAGCAAACAAATTCTTATTATGAGCAGGCAAAGCAAAAATCTTTTGTAGGATAGATTCAGTGGAAATGTGATACGGTGGGCCTATGCAATTCAAAGCTCGACATGACGTACCACAGCCAGTAGGTACTGCTCTCTAAGTCGCAGCAGTTATAGAGCTCAGATATTCAACGCTGCTGATCTAAATTCAGATACTAAGAAGTTCATGGACGGTCAAAACCCAAAAACAAGAGCACATCAACTAACAACTAAGCTGGAGACTAATTTTTTGGTGGGTGGACTGTGGGGCATATAACATTCATATGCCTCCAATAAGTCAGCAGAAAGTTTGCAGATCTTTGAATGTATACACCACGCTTGACAGAGTTGGATTGACTTTTAAGCTTTTCTGACTTCTGAGTATACTTAGGAAGTGATGAAATTCTAAGAACAATCCAAGTGCATGATTAATTTGATGAGATACTCTAATTGGCTATTCAACATACTAATCAATGATGATGTAACAAAAGAAAAAAAAAACTATGACGAACACTAACTAATAATGAAGGATCACAAGTCAGGCTGTAAAGTATTCACCATCCACTCTTTCATGCATTTACTCGTGTTGTACTTTCCCTACTTAAATCATTCTTGTTATATGCGTTTGTAGAAGAAATTTTAAACAATCTCAAACTCATTCGTATATTAACTCAATCAAAAAGGTCGTCACATCCACGAAAAATATTATCTTAAAAATGAAATATGATTATAAGATAATGCTGTGTTTTCACTTTTCACTTTTCACACCTAGATTCATCGAGTGGAACTCAATGGTGCTTGGCCCAGTGTAATGCGAGTGAGCAATTATTTAGAACATAAGCTGGAAGCTCCTCTCTTACAGTGCCAAGCTGTGTGAGTATGTGACTTTCTGTTCCAGAAAATGCATTTTTGGGCTGGTCGTCCATATGGGTAATAATTTTCTATAAAGGCAACTGGGTACTGCCAGTTCTCCTACTCTGTCTTGCTTCCTAAGGCTCTCCCACATTCATGCTTTATTTATATATCAGTAGGTGACCCTTTCTGTTCACTCCTCAACCAAAACTTATGGTCCAAGCACTTTTCTATCTTAAAGAAAGCACTTATATAATTACCAATGCTCCTTAGAAACTTCTTAAGAAAAATACCTATATATATGCTACCTTAAAAGATCTAAAAATATTTGCCATATTAAAAGTGGTAAAAAGATGATATGATCCTCCAAGTTACTTTGGGGAAGCAGGTATATAGCTACATATATACACGCGTCTGTGTAAATTTTTTGGTCCATACATCAACTATTGATACCATGTTGAGGAACAGTCGTTAGCTGAATATGCCAATATACCAACTTGAGAAAATTGCTACCTAACCAAAGCACTCTCATAAAGATTCTTCACTAAGTTTTCAGAGAATAATAAAAGGAGAAGTGTAGTCAAAGATTAACATTTATACTCTCAACGTATAACACCTTCCAAATCCAATACTAGAACTTTGATGGTGCCATAATCAAGTTGGCTTGTGAATAAAGTTGACAGGGAAAACACTAAGTATTTGTTTAGAGAAGATAAATCCACTGTTAACTTCATAGCTTTTGGCAGTCATATCTGTCATTTGGGCTTATTCTAAGGTTTGTTAACAACACAAACTACTTACTCTCACACCCTTAAAGCCAGTCCTGTTTATAAGCACCTTAGGGGAAAGTGGAGCCATCATTCCAAGGAAAAGAGAAAAAAGAACAGAGAAAGAAAACGGGAGATAACAGGCCTGGGAGAGGAAAAGAGTGTTATTGACTGTGGTGCAATAATGGCAACACCAAAACAGCCATATGAGCAACACCAACAACAAACAAATGTGCAGCGTGTGAGAAATTCAGGGATGATTAACGTCAACCAGAGTCCAATGAGGGATGACAAGGAAGAGGAGATGTCAAGATCAGCTTTGGCAATGTTCAGAGCAAAGGAAGAAGAAATTGAGAGGAAGAAAATGGAGGTGAGGGATAAGGTTCACGCTTATCTGGGTCGAGTAGAGGAGGAAACAAAACGCTTGGCTGAGATTAGAGAAGTAAGTGTCACAATGCTTTTGGCTTACCTCTAAGCTTTCATGCTTTATTTGTTTTCTGTTCTTTTGTGTTTTACATATAAATCAATATACAGCGTGTTTGGTTCCACATTCCAATAGGTATAGTTTCTATCTCTCAGACCTGATTTCTAGCTT